CCTCAGATATCCACCACTGCATCAAGATAAAATAATCTTAACTGTTATTTAAGTATCACATTCAGTAGCTAATAGTGTTTCATTTCCAAATTTTTCTGAAACCTACTACTGTTGAATCATATGTAAGAAAAGAGGGAGAAATCAATTACAAAGAAATTTCTACTTTCTATCTTTACTGACTTCCAGTTATGTGTGTGTACATACAGACATATGCTTGTATATTTAATCGTGCCCTGATATACTCCTTGGATTTAGCCTAAACTACAATTTGAGCATTTGTTCCCTACAGAATTTAAGGTAAAATATAATTTCTCTTCTAACAGTATCAAGAGGTGGGGTCTTTAAGAGCTATTCAGGCCATGATGACTCTACCTTCATGAATGAATTAATGCCATTGTCTTGGAAGTGATTTACTTAAAAGTCTATTTCTTTCACTTTCTGTATCTCTGTTTCTGTCTCTGTCTGACTCTGTTTGTCTGTCTGTCTGTGTCTGTCTGTGCCTCTCTGTCTCTCTGTCTCCCTTTCGCTGTCTCACTCTCTCTTTCTCCTTCCTGCTAGAGGGTAATACAGCAAGAAGTGTCTCCACATACGTTAGCAAGCCAGCAGCTCAGTCTTGGACTTTCCAGTTTTGAGAACTATAGCAGATAAACGTCCCTTTACTTCTTTTCATTATATCTTTGCCATTTTGTGATATTTTTGCTATAGCAGCAGAAAACAGACTAAGACAGCAAACAAAATAGATATTTATGCTCTGGAAAAACCTGAGTGCTAATGACAAGTAAAAAATGGTCCCAATTCATAAAAAGTCCATCTATCTAGAATCAGAATCCTCTTCTATCTGATTGAACCATGATCGTTCTACTAAGTATGTCCTACTTTAAGGAAGAAGATTTGCTTTTTGCCACTCCAAGTGAGTTCAAGGCACTTCATCTCTTCCAGGACAGAAAATGTAGCTCAGCATCTCCTGGGTGATTGGCTGTTTTGACTTCTTTCCTTATAGCCTCTTTCTTAAGAACCACATTTATTTAATGAGGAAAGGAAAAAGGCTGTGCTCAATTGAATTCCCTGTTCCCTAAGGGAAGCCTTGGTAGAAGACTGAATGTTCCTGCTTCCAAGGTGACAGGCCGTGTGGCAGGAGAGCAAGGGACTGAAAGGGTTGCTGGCCCAGGCCGGATACTGTAGCCAGTAAAGCCAAGGAGCTCCTATCTCCCCCACCCTTAGGAATTGCCTCTGGCGCCAAACAAAGACCAATGGGCTACCTGTGCATCCCTAATGCCCCCTTAGCTTCCACCCCAGGCGGAGGCTACTTATGTGCCTCACTCCACACGTTCCACAGAGAGATTGCTGGCCCCGGGGTGGAGATGCCACGCCCCAGGGGGTCGGGGGTGTTTCTCCCCGCATTCCCAAAATAAAGGTTTCTTATATTTTATACTTCTTATCTTTTCAGCCGCCACTGGTCCTCCTCCTCTTCCTCCCCTCCACAGTTCTATCAGGGACAAGGTGTGCCTCACTGTGTACCAGCACTTCCCTTTATTTCTCTTCCTTATAACTTTGCCATTCTGTGATCACAAGGTGTCAACTCCTTCTTTTTCTCTTAATTCAGTCATTTTGATTGCCTACATTGTGAGGGTAATCTTCATTCTCTTGGCTCTTAACAGTGGTTTGCCACTTATATTTTCTTTGCCAAACCCTAGTAAATCATAAGGACCAACCAACACTTCAGTAGCACTTGTAGAAAATGTGAAGCCTCTATTTTACAAAGACTCTTTAATCACGTTTTCCCTCTGGTGATTATAATACAATATTTCAACTTCCAGCAGCATCAAGACTCCTGCCATCTCTTCTGAGACCCTAAATTGGTTACTGGTCCTTGTGTCTTTCTCTTCAAGCCTTTTGTGTCTGTCTCTTTTGAGCAGACTAGCTTCTCTGAGTATGAAGTTTCTTCCTCTGTGAAATGGGATCTGATTAAAGGAGCTGATGATTCTGGAATCAGCTGCTGAAGGGGGCTACCTCTGTCCTTAATCAGGTCCCTCTCCATGGCTAGTGTCTCCTCCCCTGGCAAACTGATGTCAAAAAAATCAACAAACAGCACAATAAATCGTTGATCCCCAACATATGCCTCTAATTCTAGAAGCAAATGTGCATCTGATGGTTAAGGGTCACTTAACCACTGTGAGTGTTACATGTGACTAAAGTATTTTATGTAGAAGTTTGACGGTTTTTGATAGCTTTCTGTAAAGGTATTTTCACAATGACTTAATCACCTGGGACTCTTTGTGTCTCGAGTTCATGTTACTTCTTGTTTAAGGATGTTTTATAGGCCCCAGTGGTAAATAATAACAGTCGAGTAAAAACCATTTTTTGGCTATGTAATTTAGCAAGAAAATGTGTTTGCGCTTTCATCCAGAGAGCATGCTGGAATATTTTAAATAATTAACCTATTTCTCTGCAGCCTCAGGAGTCTCCAAAGTTTCCACCCACAGCCTGGGATGAGTGGTGAAAGGTACAGATTGCATTATTTATTTAGAAGATTGTCAAGCTCTATCCAGTTTTTGTCCCCCCTTGAGTGACAGACTCTTCACATCATGGATCCTTTTACCTTTTAGTATTCACAAGACAGAATAAATAAGTGAGACCAGACAACAAAAGGCAACATGCTGTTTTATTTATGTATGCTTTTTATTTTCTTTGTTAGGTTCCCCACAACTGAGAACCTATGCAAGTTCAAAGGGTGATTTCAAAGTCACAAATGTTGAACTTTAGGTGTTAGCCTCTGAACTCTCTCCAAATTTGCCCCCAAATGCAGGTGTGGACATTCTCAAAGAAGGGCTCTTGGGAAGGCACTGGAAGGCCAAAGATAACAGACCCCAGAGCCTAATCTCCAGATCCAGCCACGGAGTCTAAGAGTGTGGTAAGACGCTTTAGTAAACCCAGAGTAATAAGAGCATTTGAGAAGTTCAGACAGAGTTTCCTGCCAAAGTCCCAAAGCAACGCAGTCTAACAATGGCCTTTCAGCAACACTATAATGTATCTTTTTAGGAAAATGCCCCGCCAGGCCTCACATGCTCTCTGCTCACAGATTTATCCAAAATGACTGTCAGGTACTAGATTTTGTTTTTATAAACCTCATATCCAGGAGATTCTTAGAAGAAAATTTTTCAAGTTCTTCCTTTCTGTGTAATCTATGTGCTCCAAGTGACTCCCACTAGCATTTTGTATGGGGTGATTGAATTTTGCTTTTCTAAGCACTGGTCGTGAAACTCCTTTAAAAATGAAAGTAAGAGAGAGAAAGAGATCCTGCTGACATTAGAGAGGAGGCAGGGCTTTGTAATTTAGAAGACCATAGTGTAGCTGTGGTTTCTAGAAATCTTCAGGTAAACCTGACCTCACAAACCACACGGAAGACATTTATAACAGCAACGTCCAGGCCTATTATGGATGAGACTAATGGAATATTACAGGCTGGGTAGAATTTGACATTTCAGCACTTACACAGGAGTGCCTAGAGGATCCTCTAGACATATATCTCAGCCAGGGACTCAAAAAAAAAAAGAATATTGATAGTAAGGATTTAGGTTCCTGGTGAAATTCTAATGTTCTCTGTAATGATCTAAACTGACAGTCCGACTTGGCTGGGGTCTCCTGAGGTAGTATGAGTACAGAGCTTTTGTTTTTATTTTTCATTTTGCTTCTATTTCCCAAGTCTTCCGGGGCTTACTTTACCTGGAGTCCACAGTGAGTTCAGATCAGCAGACCCAGGGAAAGTCCCTAGATAGCAGTGAATATATGTAATACTTCTGGGAGATGGAAGAAGATGAAAGGCAGCCCCCCAGCAGGCCTGCTCAATCCTTTCATCAAAGTGTCCCAGCCACCAATGCCCAGAGGGAGTTCTATAACCAAAGTAATTCCTCCGTGTTTGTTTTACAGTAATAATGGCATTCTCCCAATGCCCTACAAAAAATGTATTGCTTCTATAGTGTCTGCGTCCATCAAATTTCATGTGAAACTTGCACATCTTTTTTTTCTTACCAGCTTTGTTTTCTAGGCAGTTGCCTGTGATGTGTTGCTCCCAATGTCATTCTGTGAACATGTTTATTTTCACCTCACAAAAAAGCCTGGAGTTGCATAATCCAGGGATGCAGTCTCTCCTATCTGTCCATTTACCCTTATAGGAATTGTCCTTAATGTCCCTCTCACTCACAGCTGCCAGGATACCAGCTATGAAATCTCAGGTCTAGATGAAGAGACCATGAGCAGAGATAGTAATGGGGATGTGGCAGCTAAGTCAGCCTTGGTAAAATAGTTTCTACAAAGCTCAACAGAGAGACCTCTGCTAATACCACAGGAGCCAGAATGGTGCCACTTCACCACACCATGACCCTCATCACAGGGAGCCAGGAAGCATAGGTGAAATTTGTATGTTTTTTAACCTGAATACATTACTGTTCCAGTTAGGAATTTGTTTAAAAGAAGCAGAAAGTAGGATATTTGATGAAAAGGAAACTTAAGTACATAGCTCACTGTTTCATTGTGGACACTGCGAATATCTGTGCCCAGGACCCGACAGTGCTTGTTAAATTGGTGTGGCACAAAAACACTGTTTCCTTCTCCCTAGGCATGCTCACTTCTCCAAACCTTTGTGCACAGTGTAAAATATCACATTGTTAGACAATGCCTCAATACCACAATTCATAATTCATCTAATTAACTCCTGTGAGTAATTTCATATTTAGGGAAAAAATAGACTACAGAAGAGAAAAAAACATTCAACTCCATCTCATCATTGACAGATCATTTAAAACAAGAAGTGTCCCTTGGCACACAGCCTTTCTGTAACACTTACAGAAGCCACTAATTGTTATTTCAGATAGGGCTGTTCTGCAAGCTGTTAAAATCCATAAAAGTGGTTTACAATGTTGCCTGTGTTCTAAGTGTATGAGACAGAATTCTTCTTAACAAATACAATTTACACTATAGAGAATAAAATTATACGTGCACACTTTTTAGATTATTTTAAAATCTTTATTATTAAGTAGCTCACTGGGGTTTCAAGGTATGTTATAAATTTACAACAGAATTTGAAGCTAAGTACTTACAGGAATGCTGATTTTATATTCCATTTCATATACAGGAGTCTAATTGTGGGCCCACATAGCTCTATAGGATGCATTTAACTGGACATCAATGCCCACATCCTGATGTTGCCTGGACAGAGTCCAGGAGGCAAAGCACGGTAAAGTGAAACTGATGTGAGTGATACAAACTAAAAAGAGAGATAAATCCTTATTTAATTATTGTGCTGGTGATTGTTTTCTATGTGGAAGATTGTAGCACTCTAATCTTACCAAGTGGTCGCTGCTACAAAATCCAAATCTACATTGTATGTGTAATTAAAAAATGGAATTTACATTACTGAGGCAAGACAGAAAAAATTGCATTAGTTATATTCTAATAATGATGTTCAGGAAAGTTTTGCAACCTATGATTTTAGCAATTTTTTTCATAAAACATAGAAATGAGAGACTTAAAGATCTTTAAAAAGTCACAGCATAGCTCTTAGGTAAGATATAGAAAGAAACATAAAAAAAGGAGGAATAAACAAAAGGAAAAACAGAAACTATAAATTAAAAAATCAATTTATATCTGTATATATTTCACTTTACTTGATAATCTTGGATTATCATTCGGTTCAGTTCATTTGTGTTGCTCAGCTTAGAAAGACAGAGAGAGACACATAGAGAGAAAAAGATGGAGACAAACGTACATAGACAGAGAGACTTTTCAAAAAAGCAGAGAATTTTCAAAAAATAAAAATGATGGAATAAACATTGGCAGCTCAACAACAGAAAAACACACAAATATTCCAAATCAAGCTAATAACTCAATTGATAAAGCCTGAAGTCACTCATATATGGTTGGATTTATGCTTCATGATAACTGAACATGATTGTAACCTGGAATACAGAATACATATTTATCTCATGCCCTAAAATATAAGCACTCTCATAACATTCAAATGGTTTATTTCATGAATATTTAATCACTTTAATTGTATAATATTTCACAAAACAGTACATTTAAATGACTGCTCCAAGTTCAAGAGTTTCTGAAAATCTGAAGTTTGAGTCATTTATGTCTACATAAAATGACAAAGAAAGGAGGCTTAAAGAACTGCTTCTCAGCATAAATAACACCCTCCTTTTATCCAGTCATTCTCAGGTAGACTGTTTTAACCCTTATATAGCAAAGAGTACTGCAACCTTTCAGGACACAACCAGAAAATATTTCTTCTTCATTGGAATGAAGACGTTTCCAGCTGCTCTCCATGCCCTTACCTCATCTCTACAATCCCATCCCTTCACCATGTCCTGAAAGAGGTGGGATGTTGGCATGGAAATCCAGGAAGGTCATGGCTTCATTTTGGTTCCAGATTCGTTGGAGTCAAAGGCAATATATAAGAGAAAAATTCTGCAGTAAATAATGATATTAAATTTTCTTCTGCCATGCTTAGTAAAAATAAATGCTTCAAGCACTGATTAATCATGAGTCATTGCCAGAACAAGTGACAGTGGAAGAATTCTGTGAACTGGAGGGATTAACAGCTTTATAACCACTACCTCTGTTTGTTAATAGCAAGAAACTTTAAGAAGCAGCTATAGTGACTCAGACAACCAACTGCTATAACAGTTGTATGTCTCAGTGTTCCAATGCTGAATGTATACTTTGCGTGTTTTGGCTAGATGCTTTTTATAAGAAATAACTTCCTATTTTCAAGTTTTATAGATCTTAAGACTTACATGCATCCTAATTTACCAGTCTTCCTACTTTTTCAGTTTCAGCACTTTACTCCTCATTACTGAATATCACATCTCTATCCAAAAAATCAATATGTAAGCTAATAGGAGAAGAAGTTTAATAGCATTCCTAACACAAAATTTTGGTAGCACAAAATTTAATAATACAAAACAATGGAAAATTTAGATTACCTTTCACCGAGTTTAACCTATTCCACTTACTACCATCACCATCCAAAACAGGTCTATTAATTTTAAGAGGCATATTTTCAATACTCGCCTTAAGATGATTGGATGATTAAGATGGGAAACTACATGCTAGCCCTCTTTGATGTGGGATTACATCTGGGATTCCATAGAAATTCTGTTTAAAGTGAGAAAAGCTTTCTGATAAGGTGGATCCTTACACACATCTCTGACTGGAGTGGTACTCTCCTCAGGGTTTTCACAGCCACTGACAATGGCAACTGCACTGAATGACCTCCGCCTGCCACTGGTGTCTGACGTGCAGGATTCTCGGGCTGGCGAGGCTTTCTCCATGTTGTGAAGCTGCTGGTCTTTCCAGTCTAATTGTTTGGCACTACAAAAAGGGGCATACACTTCCACGCTTCCCTCGAACTGCAGGCAGTTAACTTTGTAATACTTTCTCTTTACTTCCAAGACGTCGTTAAACCTGTGGCCCCAGAGAATCTCCCTAGGAACGTAGGAACTTCTAGACTGGTGAGATGTCCCAGTGGAATCACCTGTGTAGATAAATGTTACCAAAATCTCAAAATTATCTTTGGCCACTGCTTTGCGATCAAGGGCATACAGAGGGCTCTCATGGTCAATTTCATGAACAATAGTTACTGGTGTCACCAAAATGATCTGGTCATTGACTAATTTGAGGTCTTTAAAAGCCATTGTCATTCGCCCCTCACTGTCTTCTGTGTAGCGCAGAAGTTGAGCTCTAACTGTCCCTTCTACCACATGGTTGGGTCGGAAGTCACCAATACGCCACATGAGGCAAAGCTTCCCATCTCTCATGCCTATGAGTGCAAAGTAGCTGAAACGAATGGTCTGGGCTCTCTTCCGTGCTGTTGCCATTTTAGCCAAGGCTGCTCCAATGATGAAAGTGTTGATGATGCAACTTAGGATGGACTGAAGAATCACCATGAGCACTGCCACGCAGCACTCTTCAGTGACACAGCGGTAGCCATAACCGATGGTTGTCTGGGTCTCCAGGGAGAATAGAAATGCCCCTGTGAAAGAGTGCACATTGTCCACACAAGGCGTGATGTCCGGATCATTTAACAGATCTCCATGATGAAAGGCTATGAGCCAAAAGATGGAGCCAAAGATCAACCAGGAGAGAATGTAAGATAGAGAAAATATCACGAACATATGTCGCCATTTCGTGTCCACGAGAGTGGTGAAAATGTCAACCACATAGCTTCCCCATTCTCCAAAAATATGCTTGAAGTAGACATTACAGCTCCCATCTTTGTGCAGCAGCCGTCTTCTGGCTTTTCTCTTCTCAGCTATCATGTGTTCCGGGGGGCAGCCTGGGTACTTGGGGTCCACATTCACGATCCGGTAACTGCTGCCGTAATAGCTCATTCTTGCTTGTGCTCTAATGGCATTCAAGTGAGTTTTGTAGTGAAAATAATGCTAGGAGTGGTATTAGTGAGCAATTTGAGTTTTCAGTCACAACCTAAAAATAAAAAGGAAGAAAATGTAACATACTTTGTCTTTCAGTTTCTGTCTTTGTAGCAGCTTGCTAAATTTAGAGCAATTTTATGCCGTGCAAAGTGGCTAAGACTTCATTTGAACCGTAGAGACATTTGGTATTGACTTGTCATTTGTTTAGAATTCAGCTCAGTCATTACAGGAAGAAAACATGCAATTAGACAAAATAACATTTTTAATATTCACAAGGCTTGAGTAAAAACTATGATTATCGTAAGTGCTGTCTCCCTACTTTTTTTTTTACCTGACATAGAAAATATTTGCCTTCTTTTTGTAGATGCTTTTTGTATGACGGGATTTAGAAAACAAAGTAATCCATAGTTTACAAAGGCAAAATGCAGCTCAGATATTTGTCTATCAGCCCTATACACTTTCAAATTATTAACATCAAATGCTTTTGCCTTTAAAAAGATAGAGTAGAGTCTCTAGCTTTGCTTACAGTGGAATTTACACATCGGTTCCTAAAATAAATGATACCTTACCTGTAGCACCTGTGGCTCCTCCTGTCTTCCACCCAGGTTTTCTTCTTTGTATATTTCCCAGAACAGAACAAAACTAGCAAGGGGCATCTACTTCTGATTAAACTCCTTTTTCCCTAGCTCCACCTTAGGGTGATTAGAAATAAAAAGTATTCCTTATCCCCAGAGGAGTTAAAACCCCTCCCAGTGAGGTGTACAGTTGCTTCTGCCTTTGTCTAGTAACATTCATCTCTTTTTTTTTTTTTTTTTTTTTTTGGACACTGGCAGCTCTTCTCTTATTTTCTGAATAGAAGCCGAAAATTCGCCAAAGTTGCTGGTCTTGTTTCCCTCTTAAAGGGAGCACCCCACAATACAATTGGACACTTTTCTCTAGTTAGTCAATGTTTTTCTGATGTGTTCAGTCAGTGCTATGCAAAACAGTTTTTCTCCCTTCAAATTAGTCTTTAGAAGATCAAACTACAGTATGTATATTGTTCTTACCAGGCGTAGACCAAAGCATTTCCCAGCTTCAGTCCGGAAGTACATTTAAAAACTGTAAGGTCAAACCTGCTGTTTGTTACTTCCATGGAAAAAAAGACAGCAATGGTAGCAGCTCATTTAATGGTTTGCTTATTTTTAGACCACACATTTTAGATACTAGATCTGTGTAAGAAGGGAGACAGAGAATTCAGGGGCAATCTTATATGAGAGGATCCTGACATTCTGTTACAGAGAAAAAGCAACATGAACCAATACTGTTTCTGTCCTTGAGCTTCCTTGTGCCAAATAGGGAAACTGTTCACTGTTAACCCAGCACCTTCCTTGCTGGAAAATGGCAGAAAGAATAAGGTCCTCCCTGTGAAAAAGAATCATTTTTATCAACCTCCCAGCATCAGGCCCACTTTACAATAGACTCTTTGTTTAATAAACCACTTGCCAGGATAGACTGCTTACAGCCAGGAATTCTGTACTGCACGGATGGACTTCTCTCTGCCTATCTGCCTGCCTACTGGCTACTTCACCCACCCATCACCTCATCTGTTCTGAGTGGTTGCATCTTCCCAGTTCAGCCGCATTTGCAGGGGACTGGGCATGCCAAAGGCTTATTGGAAATGGCAATGTAAAATATTTTCATAAGGTTTGTTCATGATCATAGAAGCTATGAGAATGGGATGAATTATAATTAATGGACCATATGATTTCTAATTAAAGAGCAGATTTATTGATAGAATGACTTTCTTGTTAAATGCTTCCAATTCAGTTCCTTTTAAGGAATGACACAGATCATGCCAGGCTGAGTTAGAAAATACAGTTCATAAATCAGAAGCCACTGTGTGATTCTGCTTTTTTCTACTGCCAAAAGAAAAAGTTTTTATTTGAAATGCCATTCAGTTGGCACCCTTGTGAATACCAATGGTGCCACCAACTATTATAAACAAGATACTTTTCAAATATCTTCCAAAATGGGCCAATCAATGGATGAATTGTCTATTAAGTCATAGACAAGCCAATTTGAGTTTGAAGAAAATTAACTGGTAAGCAAAGTAATAATTTCAGACTTAAAAGTTAGCAGCTATGAGAATTCTGTTCAAACACACATTTTTTAATCACAGCTTCTCGTGTCGTTAATACAAAAGTTCATTTCAATTTATCCAGAAATAAACATTTGAATTATGTTGGTTCACACAATCTACTCATCAATTCTCTGAAGCTCCAATCATATAAATAATACTTATTTTTAGAGATAAATGTCTTTGAGCTGAATGACAGATCATAACTAAACTAATCATATTGTTTTACTTGTTTCTGCTCCTACACAAAAGAAGTATACAGTGGTTCTGTTTAATTTATAAACTCAATATTTCACATTTGCATTTCTTAGGATGAAAAATCAGCCTTAAAACTGTCTTAATGCCTTAATCACCTTTCCACCATCAAATCCATTACAAAATCTTTTGCAGTCTCCCAATTTTGAATATACTTCTTTGCACATTACTCTGTAGAAATTGACCTTGCCTATTATTTCCACTGGATCAAAACTACTGTTTTTAAATGGGAAATGGAAAGATCACTCATAATTACAAAACTGTGGGATATTAAATCCAAGGGTCAATGCTAAATCAGATAAAGTCTATTTTACTAGGCAATTAATGGCAAAATTAAGAAAGAAGAATAACACTGTGATTTTTTTCCTCTGGATTATTTTATAGATGGGTTACAGTGAAGCACAAGGCCTAATCACAAAGGTAAATGCCCAGAATGTCATCAAGGTTTGCTTAAAATACCAACACTTATACAAGTGCTAAAAGGCACCCTGACGTACCTTATCCCACTGGTATAGTGAAAGACAGAAAGTTAGTGGGGTCAGTCAACTCAGTCCTCAAGCCCACTTTTTCCTAACTTTCCTCTTCTGTTAAAAAGATGTTTCTTAATCTACTTTGACTAGAAGAATATCCTTTTAAGCCTCAACTTTCTAGGTCTGTGTATAAGTTCAAGAAATCTCACTAATTTAGCACATTTCAGGCAGGCACTTATACCACTGATCTATTGATAGGCATATGGCTGCTACCAATATTTAGCTATTATGAATTGTGCTGCAATAAGCATGGGTATGCATACATCACTGTTGTCTTTAACTTTTTTTTTTTTTTTTTTTTTGGCTCTTTAACTCTTTGGGGAAGAGAATAACTTGGTCAGATGCAATTTTTGTCTTTTATTTCTCTGGAATCTCCATACTGACTTACATAGTTGCTACACCAGTTTACACTCCCACTAACAATGAAGCAGTGCTCCTTTTCACCACAGCCTTCCCCACAACTGTTATTGGTTGATTCCTTAGAGATAGTCATTTCTTTGCAGGGAGATGCAATCTTCCTGTTGTATTAATGTGCATTTCTCAAATTACCATCGATGTTAAACATTTTTTTCATATATATATATATATATATATATATATATATATATATATATGGTTCTTTTTACTTCTTCATCTTAGAAGTGTCTATTCATCTCAGATGCCCATCCTTAAATTTGGTCTTTAAGTTTTGGAAAGCTAAATTTTTGAGATCTTTATATATACTAGATATTACTCTTGTCTAAATAATAGCTGGCAAAAACTTTCTCAATTTATAGGTTATCTCTACATACTATTGGTTTCCTTTGCTCTACAGAAACTTTTTAACGTGATGTGATCACATTTGTTGATTTTTGATATGACTTCTTGTACAGCAAGGATTCTGTTCAGAAAGTCTTTGCTTTTGTAAGTATCTTCAAGGACTTTACCTAGTTTATCTCCTAACAAATTAAGAGTTTCTGTTTTATCATCTAGATCATTGATCTATTTTGATTTTTGTTTAATGTGTGTGAGAGATAATAAGCCTTGGTTCAAACTTTGGCATGTAGCTAGCCAATTTTCTCAGCACAATTTCTTAAAATATTCTATCTTCCAGCAAACATATTTGGCTCCTTTGTTAAAGACAAGGTAGCCGAGTGTGCCTGGACTTGTTTCTGTGTCTTCCATTGTATTCTAGTGACTCATCAGTCTGTTTTATTGCCAACATCATGCTTTTTTTTTTTAATTAATACTTTAATTTTTAAAGTATCTTTGTAATCTAACTTTAAGCCTGGGATTTTGATTCCCCTTACTTTTCTTTGTTGCCAGAATTGCTTTTGCTATTCTAAGGTCTCTTCTGGTTCCATGTAAATTTTAGGATTGCTTTCTCTATTTCTGTGAAGAATACTATTGATAATTTGATTGATAATGCATACTGTATAACAATTTTTGAAATATGACCATTTTGACAATGGTCATTTTGCATATCCAGGAATGGGAGATAACTTTTCATTTTTTTAAATGTCCTCTTCAGTCTCCTTCAAAGTTCATAATAGAGGTCTTTCACTTCTTTGGTTAGGTTAATTCCTGAGCATTTCATTTTTCTTGATTTCATTGTAAAAGGTATTGTTTCCCTAATTTTTTGTCTCAGTAATTTTCTTGACTATTTGTTTTTGAGTGTTGACTTTGTATCTTGCTATATTACTGAATTCAGTTATTGATTCTAGGAGACTTTGGTGGGTTTTAGGGTTTCCATGTAATGATTCATGCCGTCTGAATTTCTTACTGATATCCCTTCTGTGTAATTACTGTTTTGTGCAGTTCTTTCTCTGTATAATTACTCTGGCTAATTTTCTGAGATGTGTATGGAACAGAAGTGGTGATAGTGAAAATCCTTGACTTCTTCCTGGTTTTACAGGGAACCCTTTTCACTTTTCTACATTTAGTATGATGTTAGCTATCATTTTGTCATAGATGACATTTTTCAGATTAAGATAAAGATCTTCTATACCTATTTTCTTCAGGGTTTTTTATTATGACTGCTGGATTTTGTTAAATTCTTTTTCTGCATCTAATGAGATAATCATATGATTTTTGACCTTGCTTTTGCTTATGTGGTATATTACATTCATTGGTTTGCAGAAATGGAAACATCCCCACATTTTGGGGATGAAT